AAAAAAAAAATCTGAATATACCCAGGGCCAATGATACAGCCATCCATTACCAGTGAGTTGATAATTTTCGTTTTCATTCCAATAATACTATTGGCACCAATTACGGAACGTTTGATGATCGGTTTTTCGGATCGCAGCAACGGTTTCGCGATTTCGCCTTCTTCAGCAGCTGTATGTTGCACTACGGCAAATTGTGCCGCTGCACTAACGTAACATTCGAAACCGGTCGGCGTATTCGGAGTATCAACTGTTTGGCCGGTTGGAAATTTCTCCGAAAATCTTGATGATAAAAAGCGAACAATCTGAAAACCAGCGGCAGATGGTGAATTATTAAGCTTAGCAGAAATTTTTTAAAATTTTTTAAGCTAGCAGAAACAGATAGAGCCCTCATAACTGGTATTCTCGCGATGGAAATGTCCGAAATACTTTTACCCTCGAAACAGTTGTTATTCTGACAAGCGCTTTTGCTGAGAGAACGAAGCACTGTAAATATTTCTATCTGAAGAAAATCACTAAGCTGATAAGACCATCAAGAGAGAAACGAAGTCCCATAAGTGAAATTTAGTAGCGAAAGTGAACAAATTCCATTTAACGATTGTTTTTTGAAAATGAACCAGCTGTTCAGTTGTGCAAAATTTTGGATGTAACTTGGTCTTTTCTGGTTGGGAAGAAATCCGATACAGTGATGGTCTCTAGAGTGTTTCAAAGAGAATTCAGTGAGGTTACAGGGAGGCTCAGTCACAGTCGCGAAGGGGAATTCAAAAAAAAAAGCTTTTTATGAAAAAAGATAAATTTGCCCGCGATGAGAGGATTTACACGCAACGCCTGGATTGCAGCAGGATAAGCCCATCACCACTGGTCAAAGCAATTGGATAAATTTTCTGTTGGATAAATTTAAATTTCACTCGGATAATTTCATTTTGATTTGGATAAATTTGGATAATTGGATAAATTTCCTAAAAATATTACCAGTGACAAAATGCATGATCAGAAATAATCCTCGTTGTACTGGAAGCACTCGGAAATGGGCCACACTAAGCCAAAAGAGCCAAATTTGGCACAGCGCCAAAAAAAACTCACAGCTTTATTGACTTCAAAATAGGCTCCGATTGTATTCACATGCGCAATAATATAACCATTCTCCTGTGTTAGTATATAGGCGAAACATCGTACTGCTGGCTGCTTTCGACTTGCAATTGCTGTACCGAAGCTTAGTTTTTGCACCAATTCGCTTAACGGATCCACTGGTTCATTCTCGACCAGCTCTGAAACTACTACTGCTGCCAGGTAGCTGTACTTTTTCGATGCTATTCAACGATGCTTTTATTACACATCTATAGTCAGTCCTGTCGGGGAAACTCGGAAAAAGCGCAGATAAGGGAAAAAATATTTCTTGCAGGATATCATTGGAAAAAACTTGAAAAAAAGACATTTCTTTCAAAATATCATTGAAAAAAATAGTATATCACGATTGGTTTAAATGTTGCACTGCGCATGGTT